GGCGGCCCCCTCCCCCTCGCGGTGGGGACGGTCACCCTGCGCTGCCCCGCGCCCGGCGGCGGAAGGTGTCAAAGACATCGAGGCTAGGGTCCCTCCGCCGCCGAAGCCCCCCGGGGTAGAGGCGGCAGCCGGGAGACTGGCTGGAGGGAGACCCGGGGTGCTTTTCCCCCGTTCTCGACGCTGCCAGTGCTGCCCTGAGCGAGGAGTGGTTTTGTCATTTTGAATAAACCCCTTCTCCCCGCCCCCCAGGCTGTTTCAGAAGTGGCATTGAGTCAGACCTGAGTCACAGGAGAATGTGGCCCCTCCCCGCCGCCCCTCGTGGTTCTGCATCGTCCCGCTGGAATCCCCCACCCTCCGCGGGGCCGCTGCCTGGTGACTCACCCCCAGCAACTCGGCCTGGGACACCGACCCCGGCCGCCTTTTCTGTCTCTGCTGTACCTGCCCACCCGCCCGGGGTGCGAACCCCACCCACCCCTTGCGTGCTGTGAAGAAGCTCATCTGGGGACAGCCATCCAGTCCCCGAGCTCTGAAAAGGCCACGGTCTGTCCCCTGCCTCTGAGCAGGGCAGGCCACCTGCCCCTGACCTTCCCAAACAGATGGTGCGTGCTGGGGGCCTGGTCGAGCAGGACGCTCGGCGCGGGCCACAGCGTCTCCCGTGGTGGTTTGCTGTAGTGCTACTACCCTCGAGGACTTGGTCAGCTGCTTTAACCTCTGGCTAACTTTTTTCTCACCCCTTCCACCCGTTCCTGAGCTCTCTGCCTGGGAAGGTGCTACACAACTCTATTTTTAGTCTTAACAAGCTGCCTGCCTGAGCAGCTTCCATCTGCAGCACTCAGAGCCCTTTACAAATGCTAATGAATGGAAGCTGCTGCCTCCAGAGTAGCTCAGATTCATCTTGCTCCCTTTTCCCCATCCCTCTCTCTTCCCTAACGGGGAAACTGAGGCATGGAGTTAGGGTATGGAGATGTGGACAAACCATGGTCAAGACCCGTAGTGTCATATGTCCTGTTGGTGGTTCTGCATTCTCCAGCTCCTTCTGACATCTCTTACTTCTCAGTACCTCTGGATTAAATTCAGAGGTCAGACAGCCTCTTTCCTCAGTGAGGCTCAGTGGGAGAGGTGAGCATTGAAACCCATCACTGTGATGCAATGCAAATAGGTGGCCTCACCAAGCCGTTTCTGCGCAGAAGACTCACCCAGCCTGGCAGGGAGGGTGGGAGGGGGTTAGTGCTGTTAATGTCCTATTTTATAATCAGGTAGGACTTCCTGGAGGAGATGACACCTGAGCTGAATCTAATTGAGAATTGTAGTTAATCAAGCAAAAGACCTGGGCATTCTATGAACAAAACACAGGGCTGAGAAAGAAGCAGTTTGGGGTTGCTAGAGGTAAAAATGTTCCCTGTGTTAGGGTAGGAGGCTAGGTGGGGTGCAAGCAGGGAAAGACCTGGTCAGACTGGAGTTTAAAATACATCATTCTGGTGGCAGGGAGATGGGTGAGTTTGATAGGATAAAAGTGGAAGCCAGGAGACCAGTTAGAGATGATGAAGGCCTGGTTCAGGTGCCATGCAGAAGTGCCATGGGGAGGGCAGGGTGCATTTGAGAAAAACGTTTGACAGTTACTTAACCGGAATTCCAGGAAGACACAATCTCTGCACCCCACCTCGCCCTGCCCCGTGGCCCACTGATAGGCTGGCAGGGCAAACATCACCCAGGTGGCACTTTTCCCTTTTGAGCTGGATGCCTGGAATTCCTGGAGGGCAGGACCTGCCTCTGCCATGGCAACTAGCAGTGATGCAGGCAGTCTGTTTGGCAATGCTGGTTGAATGAATGGTGCTTTGATCAGATAAGGATAATGAAAGGGGTGGGAAATACTCTCAGCAACTGCGGGTGGAAGGACATAGGCATGCCGGACTCTAACCACGCTTCGCTGCGTTTTCGAAGTTAAAGCCCAGGGCGCCCTTCAGTAGGAAGCCAACTCCCACTCCAAGGCCTTCACCATGAATCAGAAAATGCTGCCAACCGCAACGAACGCAACAGTTTCAGAAGCTGTAGGAGGCCTCCTTACCGATTTCAGGGCCCTGCTTTCCAACCAAAGCATCAGGGGACTGTTCTTAGAACACCTGAAATGTGTTCCAATTGGAGCAGGCTGTACAGAACAGGGACATGTGTCATGGGCTTTGGGATGCCCAAGGAGGAGTGTGGCACAGAGGGATTCACCCACGTTTGGCAGTTTTGTATACTGGGGTGGTAGGAATTCCAAGAATTTGCTCATTTAATTCTTCATGTTGTGTGTGTTGTATGGGGAGGTCCCCATGCTCCTTTCACTGCAGATTGCTTCCTCTGGTCATCTTCCCAATATTAAATCTCAGTAGGTCTGCCGTGGCCATAAAAGGTCATCATACTAGTTAAGAGGGTGAGTTCTGGTCTAGGCTCAAACTCCATCTCCTCCACTCCTATTAGCTGTGTGACCTTAGAGAAGTTAAGTGACTCATTCAGTCTTTAGTTTCCTCATCTGTAGACTGGGTATATATGAGTCACTGTGAAGTTTAAAAGAGTTAATTCCTCTTTAAGCGCTTAGAGCAGTGTCTGGTACATGGAAATCCTCAAAAAATATTAATATTGCCAGAGTCCTCTATCCTATATTTAGTATGGCTGCACTTCCAGCTCCTCTACCGGCTGATCAACCCCAAAACATTGCTGTTTTAGGATCCTGTAAAGCAGCGGTCCCCAACCTTTTTGGCACCAGGGACCGGTGCTCCTATGAGATCTAATGCCTGCTGATCTGAGGTGGAGCTGAGGCGGTGATGCTAGCGCTGGGGAGCGGCTGCAAATACAGATGAAGCTTTGCTTGCTCCCCCGCCGCAATGCTGTAAAGTCTTTCCAGGGTTCCTTCCTTTATTTTAAGTCCTGGATACTTAAAAAGAGAACCATTGACCCTGTAATCCCTGAATCGCTCTTCTAGGGGTAAGAAAATATACTTCGTTCAGAAGAAAAGTACTATTTTAATTGAAGATGAGATACTCTCATAGGGAATTGACTAGGATAGAGAATCATAGACTTATATCTGGAAGACATCTTGGAGGTACTAATTCAAGCTGGCATTTTTTAGAGACCCAGAGAGACTGAATTACTTGTGTAACAAGTGGAAGGTGGAGAGCAGGAACCCAGGTCTCCTGAGCGTCCCTGATCGGCGTCCTGGGCTGTGCCCTCACCCCACACCTTCAGGCCATCCCCGACCCTTGGTCTTTGCTTTCCCGTCTCCCATCTCTCCCGGTCTTGCCTAGTCCAAAACCATGCTAGTGGTCTGTCTCTGTATCCGTCAGGATTCAACCAGAGAGACAGACCCAGTAGGAGATAGATAGTAGGGGATCTGTGTGGCAAGTAATTTTGGCTTATGAGATTGTGGAAGGCCAGCTAGGCAAACCCACAGCCCACAGTCCATAGTGCAGGCCATCAGGAGAGGCAGGCCCGACACTCTGGGGCAGGAGCTGACACTGCAGTCCACAGGCGAAACTTCTTCCAGGAAAATCCAACTAATTGAATCATATCCACTCAGATGATCTCCAATAGTCTCCTTTACTTAAGGTCAACTGATTATGGACATTAATCACAACTACAAAATACCTTCGGAGCAACACCAACGTTTGACTGAATAACTGGATTCCGTAGCCTAGCCAAGTGGACAAATACAACGGACAGTCAAGGTGCCCTGCTGGTCTCGCTGTCTGTCCTCCGTCCAGCCTGACATACCGCTACCAAATTAATCTTCCAAAAACTCTGCTTTGCCCTCCTTTTCAGTGTTCCACGGTGGTCCACAGGTTACAAGAGGAAGCGCAACTTGCATACTGTATCTCCCACTTCTCTCCCACTTAAACCCTCCATTCCTGTCGAACCAGTCTCCTTGCTCTCTGAACGATAACCAGCTCTATAAATTTCTCTCTGCCCAAGCTCCCTACTCCTTTCGAGGCCATTCTGTCTACTTCCTGCCTCAAAGTGTGGCCCCCAGCCAAGCCCCTTAAATCACCATGGCCCCCTGAGTTCTATCCCTCTTTCCTGCACCCCAGGCATCCACTCTCTGCCTCCCTCACTTGCTGCTTAGCCAAACAAGCAGGAGAGATTAATTTAGGGTTGATGGGCAGAGGGACAGAGAATCCCTATCAGTACTCCTCCCTCCCCAGGGCCCCTCCCTTCCCTCAAACCAGCCAGGATGCTGGTCAACCCCTAATAAATTGCTGCTCAGATCTTTTTACTAAAGTGAAAGATTGGGTCTAGGTTATTACAAATGGCAACTGAAACAATTTTCTCTCCATCTCTTTTCATTTCCCCTGCCCACCACCTCCACCCCACACCTTTGAGTCAGGAGAAGTTCTTAGTTCTTGATATCTCTTTTTAATCAAGTTGACATCCCTTGGATCTAAGGAAATTCAGAATCCAGATGGGATGCAAGACACTGAAGGAACCAAAACAGAAAACCGATCCCTAACATCAGGCAGTTCCCCTTTCAATGTTTTAAAGCGATCTTCCAAGGGGTTCGGCTACGTGTAATCTACACCATATCATGCCAGAGCAAGATGTTTACACCAGAACAGTGTACTATGAAGACTTTGCCAG